TCAGTGAGCTCTTGAATCTGTTTGGTCTATATTTTTAGTTCTAACGGAATATGCCAATCAGATGCAAGAGTTCACTGAGCGCTCAGTGAGCTCTTGAATCTGTTTGGTCTATATTTTTAGTTCTAACGGAATATGCCAATCAGATGCAAGAGCTCACTGAGCGCTCAGTGAGCGATTGTAGTACTGAATGCACCCAGTATGAATCCAGCATAAAGGGAAACGCGCGGGGATTGCGATTTGCAAATCGTTGCGTACCGTCCTTAAGAGGCATGGACGACCGACGACGGACGAAGTCGTCAAGTCGTATTACGCTGGCGACCATTTTTGTAAGATTTGCCGTTTGCTTCACGGTTACTTCGTGCGGCGTGTGAACGTCGTATAGCACGTGGTAGTTTCGCGACGAAGGTCTCGGCCTTTCGGCAAAGAGAAGAGAAACATCTGTCGATCGAAACATTTGTGAACGTGCACGTTCTCGAGAACATGTTGCCGACGGTCCGTTTCTACAAGACCGTACTGTGCGAGGAACGTCCGACGATGAAGTGATAATTCCCTCTCGGGAGTAAAAGAGTGACCGTAAAAAGTATCTCCGAGGATCCCCGCCGAAAGGTACGTCGCGGTGGTTTCTCCGGTAGCCGCACAAAGTCCCGCGATAAACCTGGGGGATCCATCCACGGTAGTGACTCGCGCGAGCGTTTTGTGGGGTCCCTCTTACTATGCGGCAACTCGGCCGAGTCCCTCTCTCTCATTCCCTCCCCGTCGGACGTGCTCCGTGATATATTAATTGACAATTGACGAGAGAAGAAGCTGCTCGTCTCGCTTCTGGAACCCCCGATCGACACGACAATGGCTGCGACCTTCGACCAGTATGACAAATCGAGGTACGTGCGGGAGAATTCCCATGTTTTGATTCATCGAGCGAGTGTCATACTTGCATTAAGTATTATTGGTGTAATGGCGTTTGAAATTGCGACTGTGCGGGTCACTTAACATATCGCGGTTTCCCGTTTAACAACTCCCGCACAAAAACGGTGCAATTATCGTCCTGACGTATTGGATCTCTGAGCACTGGATAAGTAGTCTTTAGTCCGTGCGATACGAGTTGTAGCTCGCTTCGAGGTATCAGCCCTATCGTGAACGACGTGAAGTATAAATTTCGTAATTTTTCGAGTGTTTCCCAGATGTTTGTCAGATCAGTTACTTACAGACACTTGTGTTATAACATTGAATGTTCTCACAATCAAGCACTAATTAAAGATAATTAAAATCTAAACGTTTTTAAAACCTTTCTTCGTTATACTTTTGTCCTAGAAAGAAAAATAGAGAGAATCTCGATTATTTAAACAAGAGTGAAAAAATTGATCGAGAAATGTTGAATTTGATACTTGAATTTAATACTTAGAAATAGTATTATAATATTTACTACAAATTTATTTTTCACATTTTCTTTTTATGAAACTATGATTTATCTTTTTTTTTTACACATTTAAGTAAAATATAAGTTTCTCTGAAACTGTATTATAATTAATTATTGATTCTTTTTAGCTGGTATTTTGGTGCTATGTCACGACAGGATGCATCTGACTTATTGATGGGTGAAAAAGAAGGTGGTGTATTTTTAGTACGAGACAGCACCTCTATACATGGTGACTTTGTGCTGTGCGTAAGAGAGGACAGTAAAGTTAGCCACTATATTATCAATAAAATCCAACAAGGAGACCAAATTCGTTATCGGATTGGTGATCAGATGTTTCCGGATATCCCCAGTCTTCTCGCCTTTTATAAACTTCATTACTTAGATACGACACCGTTAATCAGGCCAGCACCAAAGAAGACACAGAGGGTAATTGCAAAGTATGATTTTGAAGGAAATGATTCTGAGGACTTACCCTTTAGAAAAGGTATACATCGACTTTCTTAATTCTGTGATTAATTTGTATCATTTTTTTTATAATTATATTAATGTGGTACTTGTAATTTAGGTGATATACTCACTGTAATATCGAAAGATGAAGAACAGTGGTGGACAGCTAGAAATAGTGTGGGCCAAACTGGTTCGATACCAGTGCCGTACGTTCAGAAGTACGACGACGATAGTCATATGATAATAGAAAATAATTCGCGGCCTGAAAGTGGTGGTAGTTCCGGCTCTAATTCAAATTCAGGGCCTACGTCACAGGTATCTCATACAGAAACGACGGGACAAGCGACTATAACGCGAAGATCAAACATTCAGAGAACACTGCCGGCCTTTGCCAAAGTGAAACAGGCAAGGGTGCCAAACGCATACGATAAAACTGCGCTAAAATTAGAAGTAGGTGATATGATAAAAGTGACAAAGACTAATATCAATGGCCAGTGGGAAGGTGAATTGCACGGCAAGGTCGGACACTTCCCTTTTACGCATGTGGAGTTTGTAGATAATGAGACTGGTGAAGACAATCAGGAGATTTAACAGAAATTCTCCGAGTGTGATGTGCACCACATGAGTGACAAAGGGAAGAAAGACACCTATATTATCAAAATTTAGAGTTACTAATAACATCTATTATATGTGCCATTTCAAAAATACGTTTAGCCTGAACAACTGTACACTCGATTGCTGGATATAACATACTATAAGAATGAACGCCAGATTTTTGTGCAATATGTCGTAAGAAATGTTTAGAGATTTATGTTAATATCTCTGCAGTATGTTAATTTAGTCACATGTTAATTCATCAGTTTATATTATACATTGCTAATTGCCCAAAGCACAAGCATAATTTTATAAAGTTGTTAGATACATAATACAGTACATATTGATTGTATACATTAATACGATTTTATTTTATTAAAAATTAAAACCATGTTTCAGTGAAATAATGAACAAAAAGATTTTTGTTAAAAAAATGCAGTATTTGTAAGATGTATACTCTAATGGTTTTAATTTACAGTTATATATATATATACACATACATACATACATATATATATGTAGCTACCTGTTACATATATATTATTCTACATGCATATTTTTATATAGATATAATATAGTGCACTAGTTTAACATTCACGTATGTATAAGTTTTTATTGTTTATTTAGGAATTTATTATAGTGCTCGAGACGAATGCACATGCACAGTTCTTCATCTATACTCAACGATCTTTCATCACGGATTTGTTGATTTTATAAAAGATTTATATTATTGATAAACGTAATTTATCATTTTTATTTATGAATATTACAATGGAAAAAAGCTTGGATGCGTTCCTTAAAATGTTCTGTTAGCAAATATTACATTTATATTCCTGAAGTTATGGAATAGTATATTCTGCATTGAATGTACGATAATATCTTCTAGTCAAAGTGACTATGATAAAAGCATACTGTATATGTACTCGCTTGATATTGTGTGTTTCATTTTATTATTATTAACACTTCCGAAAAAAGATCCGAAATATCGTAATATTTCGAAAAAAGTACAGTTCTGCAGGCTATGCAACCTATATGTCATGGTACATACAATATCTGTTAGCCATAGGTTGTGCCACCAATTGGAGCAACACACTGTGCTAGAAAGTTGTATTTATAAATAATGATGGAAAGGTTAATTGTATCAAAAAGTTGATCATAGTTACGCAGGATATTTTAGGACTTTATGAGAATTATTTTGATAGCAGATATTCTTAAATGAATATTGCGTTCTCATGAAATTTTCATTGAGAACAAATCAATTCTAAAACTTAAAGCATCACTATTGAAACACTGCTAAAATAGTTAAACATTTTACGTATATCAGGATTTACACAAATTGTCATACATTATATAACACATGCTATTTAAAAAGAAAAACAGACTTGTACTAATAATTATGTTCATTATGTTTTATTATATTTTTGTAATATAATTTTAGATTATAATATATTCTATCACACGGTTTTTTAATTTACTATGTGCATTTGACATTTCCATCATCATCGTTCTCACATTATCATCATCGTCATCATCATTGTAGTCACAAGTTGCATAAGTTCTCCATAATCTTCCTAAAATTGTGCGCAGTATTAAGATAAACAAAACTGGAAGTATTCCATATCAATAAATACGTTTAGGCAAGATTCTCTTCCGTTTAATGTTTAAACATACGAGATAAAATATGAAATTGTCGAATTTATATATATTTTTTGTCAATTTTGTATGTATAGTAAGGCAAGCTGAGTAACAGGCAGTTTTTTTTGGCAGCATTATAAAGATCGAACCGTATGTTCATATGAGACAAGGTCCGGTATGTGCCATCATGTATATTTTATCTTTAATTACCAATATTCCAATGACAGATGGTGCTTAAATGGGTTTCAGCTTAAGACATTATATAGTGATATCAACATACAAATGTTTAAATATTAAATAATTTGCGCATATATTTTCACATGATAGTT